CTAACCTACAGCAAAAGATTGCTTATGGACTCTGGTATTCATAACTATTTATCTAGAATATGAAATCAGATCAGTAAGTACATGCAGCTTTCAGTGGGACAGGAAACCATTCACCTGTCTAAAGAAGGAATTTACTAATAAACAGTACCATTCCTTGTTCATCCTCAAAAACAATGGGTACTAGAAATAGACTATTCTTTATCATGGGAAAAAATGGCAATTTGCTAATTACCTGTAAAGAGCTAGAGAAATCTATACAACATATAAATAATTCTAGTTCTAGCTTTTACATAAGACATATAAAACTAACACTGAAAAACCTGACAGAGGCCACAACTTTTCAGGCAACTTCCCACCTTAAAACATCAGAGGTGTAGTTCTGCTGTACTATAGGCTCTCATTCACCAAGCAATCCAATTCCATCACTCACTAGATGATTCACACAGATTTATTGTGCCCATCATAGCTTTCAGTCTCCATAACTGGAAATAGGACCCACAGATCTGATCAGTAACTGACATTCTTCCTGTGTTTCCTACCGAGATGATACATTAGAGAGTCAGGTAGCATACGGTCATTGCAAGACTCCAGCAACACTTTCAAAAGTTATTTTATTCATTTTTATTAGATTTTAAACAATGTCAGAAGAATATTAACAGAGTTCACATTCCATTTCACTTATAGAAAGTGTAGAGTAAGAATTACAATACATTGTAACAGCCTTGAGTTGCGGATATGCAAGCAGCAAAAAGCATCATTCTAATAACTTGAAAAATATCCTTTTCATGCATTTGAATAAAAGATTGAACTTCTAAATCTATATACTCATTTGATTGTCAAGATGGTAGATATGGATGCAGGGTTGGCTTCCTGAGCACATATATGACTGGGTATTAATAAACCTGAGTCCTGTACCTTGACTAAAACATTCAACCAGTTTCCTTACTTCTGCATCGCACCTGGAAACACAGGAGTAAAAACATTTGTTGGGCAAAGTTGGGCAAAACTATTAGAATAACCTTACCAGTGATTAAAAATGATGGGTGATACGAAGTTCAATAGTCATTTAGATGTAATTATTTCTTAGGACCTTTTTTGCCAGTTATTTTCTTTATAATGAAATGCAAAAACTATAGGTAGCAAAGATAATCTTTTATTTAGACATATGCATATGTTTGTGCACTCTTTGTTAAGAAATTGTGAACAGCTACAAGAAAAGCCTGCACAAAATGCTGTCTGACTGCTAATCTCTGCACAATTACATACAAACTCGCAGTGTAAAAATGTCCATGACAGAGGCTGGATTCCTTTGCTTCAGACCACCAGGACCTCTGCTACTCAGTAGCAGTCAAATGAATTTTGAAATTTTGTAATTTATGCACCCCGCATGGATACATGATAACAGCTTTCAAGGATTACCAGCAGCTCGCACATTATGTAGAAATTAGTCTTGAAAAAAGCCCTGTAAACTATTTTGAAAGTAATGTTTATCAAAAACAGTGTTCCTTGTCCGAAAAAAAGAAAGATACACACAAAAAAGAACATCCACCAAGTTTATATGTTTGAATTTGCATATGATGATGTCTCCCTTCTTAAACAATATTTAGAAAGCAATAGCAAACAGTCAATATAACACAACTGACTCTTTGATCACTAATGAGTACATACGTGAGCCCTCAAAGAAATGAAAAGCATGGAAGCATATGCAGATCATAATTCAGGCTTGACTGCAAGTGTAACTCCTCAGCTCTCTTTATGTTCATATTCTGTGCAGTGTTTATATCACAGAAATACATTACAGTGGTGTTTCCTTGCCTCTTTAAAAAAAGACCTGTAGAACATCTTGAACAGGGCTGCCACAATGGTTTTCTTTTACAACCAAATAAAAACCAGTTGCATTGTAAACACTCATTATTATTATTTCATCCCATTCTGTTTTTTGTTTACATGGGGGAGCATCTCTGTATGTTCTCTAATTATTAAAAAGTCTTACAGAATCTGCAAGAGTCAAGGCAGAACAAGTACAAAACCCATGAATCCTCTATAGGTTTAAAAACACAGTACAGTAAAATAGTCAGGCTTCATCAGCACAGACCAAAATATACCAAGGCAGGAAATTCAAAGGTCTTCTGGACTTAACTCAACTTCTTTTTTTGGGGGGGGGAAATTATGAAAAGAAATATGAATTCACTCACCAACTTTAAAAATACATTAAATTACTCTTGTACAACTAACAGAAATTGGCAAATAGGAAAAAAGAGTAGGGATTGAATTGTATACGTTAACATATTTGAATGTTCATCTATGACTATTTTTTGGCAGCAATTAATAAGATTTCTTTGTGGGATAGATCTGCATTACAGTCTCAAAATGTTTTTCCGGTAAAGCTTAGGTCCTATCTTTTACCCTTGATTATTACAAACCATAATTATTAGGCTGGTTTGTCTATGAAATAAGATTTTAAAACCCAAGTTGCCAGAAATCTGGTCAGCAAACAGGGAAACTTTGTATAGCAGTCTGAGGGCAGAAGAAGTTTTCTGTTTTGCAGGAAAATACAACAGCAGCAGCATTGAAAAAACAGCCAACAGGCAGAATTATAAGAGCTAGGGAACACACATCATCCTTAATCCAATTAAAAAAGATATTAGGCACGATCTTGGTTTTGAAGTGTTGTCTGATACAGCTCCTGGAAGAGATTCATAGGCTGGAAATGTAATTGAACCCAAGGATTATGAAGATTCAGTATAGACAGTGATGGAGAAATGGGCATAGAAACTATGGAGTTAATAGTCTTGCAATTCAAGAATATATATGGAAGATGGATAAACAGAGGAAATGCTAACAACAAAATACATCTACTACAAAATATGACTATGAAGACAGTAAAAGAGATGAGATGAAGAATAAACAGAGCTATGAAACAGATTTGCTATGTTGAGAAGCCAAAAAGAAAAGCCAATGAGCATGAGATGACGGGATGGTGAGGGAGAAGTGCAGTCAGTCAAAAAGCAGGAAGATATGGAATTCACCAAGGATACAAAGCAAAAAAGGAAAATTTGAATGCCTGAGATGACCAGCCAAAAACATGTGCAGAGTTACTAGAAGACAGAAAAACATGCTAAACCCACCCCCCAATAAATAAATCAATAAACCCAAACACCAAAACAAACCCCAAAACCAACACATGCCCAGTTTCACATTCTAGGAGACTTACTACTGAAAAAATAAAGACAGGTGTGACTGACCAGTAAACCCTGTGGAAGAAGGCTCAGAGGAGATGGGCCAGGGCAATACCAGGGAATAATGCAGGGTTTTACGGATCACAGCTGCTGCAAAGAAGCTGACTTGATCTCAACACCAAGGGAACCCGAGGGTGGTCTTTGCTTTAGATAAACAGCTATCGACAGCTGAGTGGATCAACTGGTGGTGTGTTTCTCCCTGACTTCATTAGAAGAGTGTGAATGTCTCCCTGAGTTAGCCAGGCCAACATGGGGGTGGTGTGTATATGGCTCAGCCCAACATAGAGACTATAAAAATGTGAAAAACTAACAAAAGAATTTCAAAGAGAGCAATGGGCTTGAGCTGGCTTTAACCCACATATGTCTTCCCAGCGAGACTGGGGATGCCCAGTGTCATGACGGTGAGCATATTAGAGAGCCTGGTAACAGGACTCACATTGGTATTGTGATTGAACTGTGTATTGCAATTGCTATATTCTGCTATGTGTAACTTATGTCTGTATTGTGTTTTCAGTATGTTTTGTATAAATCTTCTAAATCAGAAATCCCATGTAACATCAACTATCTTCAAATAAGTAAATCTGATGTTAAACATGACACCCTCCACACGTGGAATATCTGAAAGAACCTGGTCAGAGAGTACTGGACTCTCACAACAGGTCAGTTACATGAGGAGCCAGAACACAGATAAGTAAACTCTCCAGGAAGATGTATGAAGTACACCCGACTGTAAAAAACATTCCTAACTTAATGTAGGACACATGGAAAGAAAAACTATTGGGATGACTAATGGAGAATCTCTCATTAAAAAAGTATTTTAAAAAAATCTAGGCTCATGTAGTCTAAGCAAAAGGTTGAGCGGACACAGCTCTTACTAAATACAATCAGTGGTTGATGGCCTTCTTCTGAAGCATGGATGTAGGTCAGTTCTAGATCATGGGCTAGCAGCCATGTTTAGCCAGTATGCAGCTGCAGTAGGGAGCTAAAGCACTGACATCTCCAGCTTTTTCCACAGTACCTTGCATTTTGGGATTTTTGACCACAGAAGCTGTGTCCTCTGGTCTCTTGCATCTGTTACAGGGTGAAAGGAAGCATTTTGTAGGTGTTAACATTTCTGCTCTAATGCTGATTGATCACAGTGCTATCAAGGACGGGCTCAATGACACAGACAAACCCTTCTACATCCATGTTCCTCTAGATGGCATGGCAAGGTTTTTTTTTCCTTTTTTTTTTGTCCTGGGTGGAGGGCAGGCAAAAGGAAAGGAGAATTTTTGTATTCTCTAAATCACAAGGCACTTCCAGCACTCAGATCCCCAACTAAGTGGAATGATTTTTTAAAGCATCCAAGAAACATCCACATTCCTACAGTATATTACATCTGAAAGACAAAAGACTAAGATTATTTCTCTCCTCATTTTTAATATTTCTACCTACCTACCTGTCTGGGCTTTACAGACAACAAACTGTTCACTGGATCTTCAGTTACCAGCTGAGCTCTGCAGCTCTTGTCCTTTCAAGAAAGATCTTTGTCTTGCGCAACCAGGGTTTTTAGAAGAGGATGCTCTGCACACGTTCTAGTCTATATACTGATGACCAGACTGCATCAGTTACAACAGCACTGTAATATATGATGAAATTATGCCACAGATATTCACAAAGCCCTTTAGGAGAAATCCTAATGCCAGTAAAATTGGTAACAAAACCCACGGAGTTTATCTTTTGTTAAATTACACCAACATGATATTTAAAAGTCATACCTACCTAAACTGTTATTGCTGCTAGTTGGCCAGGAAGCTATCCTATCCCTTAACTTTTTCTTTTTACAAGAGTCATCCGATATCACAGAAAGCTCCACTTCCTCCTTCCTGATTTCTCGTACCAGTTCCATACGGCACTGACTAAAATCCTGGAAGGAAATTTTTCCATTTTCGTCTGCTCCCAGCTGGTGCATGATCTCCGCAACAGACTCCTCCATATTCAGCTGGCGGCACACCATCAGCAAGTCATTCCTAAGGATATTTTTAGAGGGAAAATGGGGGCGGGGGGGGGGATGAAAGTGGAAGATTGGAGAAGTGGGAACAGAGAAGAAAAAAACCAACAATTTAGTTTAGAAGAAAAGGAATACTAACTCTGTTTAATCTGAAAATGCATTAATGCACAGACATTTAAAACCAATAAGCCAACTATTGTTTTTGTCAATCCAACAAAGGAACTATGAGGTTGGCAAGAAATTACAACACAGAAAAACTATGGAAAAGAAAGGAACATTTTTCTTTAAGTGTTAACCTCTATTTTCATGCTATTATTAACACTTCTACTAGCAGAGATGGACACAAGGGAGAGCTGAATCCTGCTGTTGATCTTCACAGTATCTTCTGAAAAGGTGACATAATAAGAATTTAAATAATTATCTTCTGACTAGAACAATGGCTACTTAAATTTCCATTTTACTCAGAACATGCCAAGGAAATTTCTTCTGCCACTAAACAGCAGTAAGCTAAAGACGAAAAACACACGAGGGACAAAGAAAACAGCAGAAAAGAGAAATACTATTTCCATTAACTGACTTCAAGCCTGTCTCCAAACATTCTGACTACAAAACCCTCTTAAGAAGCTTGCTTGGTCCAATTGTTTAACGAAACTCACAAAAGGGGGAGGAGCATTATGAAAAATACTCTGGCATCAACTGCAAGTGGCCAAAAGACAGCTGCAACCAAATCAGCGTAGAAGATACTTACAGCATACGATACATTTACAAATTTATAAAATGTGCTTTTAGGAGAGATGCATGCAAATAGCCCTAAAAATACTATTCAGGCAAAAAATTCATCAACACTATGACAAATGCCATTTTCTATTTTGTGTGAAGACAAGAACCTCAAGAACATACCTAAGGCTTGATTTGGGGTATAACACTAGTCTCGGGAGAAAATATTCTGAGGAGTTTGTTCCCCACCACTCTTTTTTCTTTTTCAAAACTGAGGTAAGATTAAGTATTTTGAAAGAATTCTCAACAGTAGCAGTTGGTAAAAAAAAAAAAATTAAAAAAAAATCATGAATCAGAAGTTGATAACTAAGGAAAGAAAGGTGAATAACCATTAACAAGTCTATTCAGGGAACAACAGGAAAAAAGGTATTGGATGTGAATTGGATATGAATGTAAGTGGCCTATTAGACAAACACTGGATGCTCTCCCAGAGTGGCGGATGTGCAGCTCAGTGAAATTCTTCAGTCATATGCTGCAGAGACCAAATCAACCCATCAGAAAAGGGAGGGGTTTTTTGAAGGTATTGTCATACTGTCTTTTTTCGAAACGTAAACCACTAAAAAACCCACTGCTGTTCTTAGGCAAACACAACTCTGCAACTGTAAACCCAGACCAAATAATTTTCCTGAGCATACAGAGAAAACACCTCTGCTCCTTTTCAGATGATCATAGTTCTCATGAACAGCAGGAGACAAAGTTGATAGACTCAGGCCTGCCTCATTCTGCTGCTATTCGGAGGGACTCAGCCACCAAAAAAAGGGAGAGCCAAAAGACCCTCTTTCATCCTCTTTTCTTCCCATTCCTCTCTCGTCTAGCCCCATCTCACTTTAGAAAGGAAGAGGCATGGGGAGAGAAGAGGAAACAAAATCTTGAAACAACTTTTCCAGAAACTGAAGGAAGGCAGATACATACTTGTCAGATGACAACTAATCACATTCTAAATAAAACGTGGGTAACCCAATTCAGTCAGGCCTGAAGCAACAGCTGCTCTACACTGTCAAAATCTTCTTGGTGCTCCATTCTCTCTGATTTCAAAAGTTAAAAAAATTACCACTACTTTGCCACTCTCACATTTCACTATTTCTTTCCTGCCATGCTTTTCTTAAATACTTTTTGAGTTGGATTGCGTAACACTACCACACTGATTCATACCACGAACAGTATGGATATGTCATGACTTCTTTTAAGTGTTGCTTATTTTTACGTTGTACAAAACCTTTCTGTAGGAGGAAGGTAAAGGAAATGTGTAATAATATTAGTATTATGTGAATTATTAGCACGTGTAGTAGCAGTATTTCATTACTAACATCTGAACATCATTCAGAAGGTTTCTATGAAAACATGATGTAGTGAATTATCCAAAGTTCTTGCATGAACCGTTTCACTAAAGTAATTTAATATCACAATCAAGGTCCATCTATTCTACAGAAAAAAGTTGTACATCGGGTGGAGCTCTGTAAGTCTGTTCCACGCAGGAATTCCAGAGCTGCCCCAGCACAGTTCTTGGCAGAGATGTTTACAGTAAAACTGGAGTGTAATAATCACATTATGACCATGTAATTTAGCAATAAATAAATAGATAAAATAAAATCTCCGCCTACGACAAGAAGTAACTTCATTACAGGAGAACTAAATTACATTACATAGGCCAAATATAAGTGATCGATACTTGCAGTCAAAATTTTGGTCAGAGTTTTGCTCTTAGCTTTGAATCTGGTCAATGAATAAATAAATAAAGACATAATCTTAGCATGGCTCAGTTCCCCGTTTTTAAAAATTAAGACGGCAATACAAACCAATCTCACAAGGGCGTTGCTGAGAAAAACAAGGATGACAAAGCATTCCCATTTTCACAAGGGGAACGACAGATACAATTAAGCTACGCCTACACTGACAATTTAAGGCGGAGCTAGCCCAAATTCAGATGCCAACAGCTAAATCTGAACTCACTTGAACGGCAGTAGCGAGGCGGTAAGCCTGGCAGCAACTGCTTTCGGCATCACTTCAGCCACCGCAACAAACCTCCGAGCAG